TATCTGGTCCTCGGGCATCCCTGCCAGCCACGGGGCCTGGCCCCGAGCTCCTGACTGCTCCATCTTTGTCCCAGCCCTGGGCCTCCTGGCCAACCTCTCCTCCTCGGCTCCCATGCAGCTGGGCCATTCTGAGCTGACCCCGGGGCACAGGCTGCCTGGTCCAGCTCAGAGTGGTGTGGGGCCTACACTGGGGGGGGCTCCTCACCCCTCGTCCACCCAGCCTGCCTGCCCCACGTCACAGACAGGAACCCGAGGGCTGGCGGAGAGCCTCCCATCCTGGCATACTGAAGGGCCTGGGAGAGACCTGGTCTTAGGAACATGAAACCCCCAATCCAGCCTCCGGCCCAGGTTCCATCCTCAACTCCTGCTTCCCAGGGGAACCAGGCAGCCCCCAACTGCTGCCCTGTACCCATGTGCCACCAGCAGGTTCCCAGGCCGGGCCTCAGGTAGGCCCCACACAGGCCTCGGCATGCCGGCGGGAGCCTGCCCCACCCACCCCTGCCCCTGGGCTTAGCGTGACTCATGAGGCCGGCACGACGCCCCCGTCCACACTGGCAGGCAGGCCGCCCTCTGAACACACACCTGCCCGGGCTTGATGGCAGAGAGTGCCAGCAGCGCCAGGCCACTCAGGCTGCTGGACAGCAGGACAGGGCCCCTGGGAGCCCAGGCAATGCCCTCGGGGGTGGGGGGCGCGGGGAAAGCAGCCGGTCATCCACACCCGCTGGCTGCAAAGCCCCCACACGGCTGGAGTCCTCGAAGGGCCCAAGAGAACACTCGAGTCCACACTAGGCCCCACGCCAGAGCCCCTGCAGGCAGATGTGGCCGTGGAACACAGACAAAGCCTGCACCCTCTCTGGTCACCAATGCAGAGGCCACCAGCCAGCCCGTGGGCTCTGCTGAACTGGGGGCTGGGACTCTCAATCCAGGCCCACTTCCCTCCCCACAGGAGGCCTCCGGGAAGGCAAGGCTTCACCCAGGAGGCGGTCAGCCAACGGGCCCATGGTCCTCTGCTCTGAATGGACACCCTGAGGATTGCAAGCCAGTGTCTGCCTGTCTCGGGCCTCAGTCTCCTCGTCTGTAAAATGGGCTGGTGCTGTGAAGAAGACAGGCCAGGACCCCGCCCTCAGGAGCCCCCAGGGGTGAGAGAGAATTGAGGGGGGCTCACCCAGTGCGTTTGCTCCTAAAGGGAGCCACCTCCTGGGGGCAAGGGAAGGTGGAGAGGCCAGGCAGGCCAGCGGCTTGGATGTGAGCTGGAGTCCAGGAGCCATGTCAGCGGGAGGGGCCGGCGATGGCTGCGTGTCTTGACTGACTAGAGGACAAAGGCAGAGGCCCTCAGAGCCCACCTCCACCCTCCCTGGCCAGGAGAGAAGGCAGGGGCTCCTGGTGCCCCCACCACAAGACAGAGTGGGGTCTCTCTTTCGGCACAGCACGCAGGACAAGCTGACTTGAGGAAACAACGCGGTCAGAGCTAGGACTGCCTGGCCCGCCCAGTGCTGCTCCAGGCTCCTCTGTAGCCACTGGCAGGTCCAGGCTGGCCACGGTGCAGGACCACCACTGGCCCGGCTGGAGGCGCTCCAAGGATGGACAGCCGCCCGCACTCAGCAAACCCCAAGACAGGCTGCCCCCCAGAGTGGCCGGGGCTCAGAGCTCCCCACCCCCTCGCCGTGTGACTCGGACCACTGACCAGGTGTCAGGTGGCCTGGGAGGTAGCCAGAGCCCCCACCTGGGCCCCTGCCCCTCAGCACTTGGTGCTCCGGCTGGGCACCGTCCACCAGAGGGCAGCTCCGTGGGCTGCCCAGGGCATGGCTCCGAGCAAACAAACTGGCAAGTACCCACGTTCCCCTCCAGGCCAAGGGTCCCCTACGAGGACAAGCAACCTTGGCCCCCAGCTCCACCTTCCAGAGACTTAAACTGGTCCCTGCACAAAACCACCACACAGCAGCACCTATGGGGCCCCACACTGCTCCCCTCCCATGGAGAACATGCCCCCCCACCCGTGACAACAGCGAGCCAAGACCCCTTCCTAAAGCAGCCACAGTGGCCTCAGGCCTCAACGCGCTCTCTGCCCCCTCTTGGCCTTGCCCACAGCTCCTGCCGCTGCCAGCTTCCTGCTGGGCTCCCGCCTAATCCCCAAACACAGCTAGCGTGAAACCAGCTCACCACACGCGGTGTGGCTTCTGAGAGGAGCAGGCGGCCGCAGGCTCCTGGCAGGAGAAATGAAAATCTCCACAAGAATTGGGGTGCTCCTCACTCCCTCCAAAATCTACCACAGGAAGCTGGGGTCCAGACCTCAACTCCATCCCTAATCAGCCTGGGGCTGAGCAAGTCGTCCAATGCTGAGGCCTCACCCGTCACTGAGGAAATGGGGAGACAGCTGCCCCCCAGGGAGGACGCCCAGGAAAGCGCTGAGCTGAGGGAGCGTTAACTGGATGCCCCCCAGGAAAACCGATGTCCCGGGCAACCCCCGGAGTGGGCTGGTCTGATCAGGGCTGCAAACAAAGCAGTGCGTGCTGTCCCACCGAGACCTGCCCAGAGCCACCACCTTGGCCACCCGAAGGGCCCAAGGCCCACACAGGTGGGTGGATGGGCAGCAGACACCCTCTGACGGGAACGTTCAGTGAGCTAAGCCCTGATTCATGCACTGCCTCGGACGGACCTCGCACAAGGCCACCACACATGCCCCACGTGTGCCCTCTGGGGCTACAGGGAGCCTGTGTGCCTGCCCAGCTCAGGGGTCAGGACCGGCAGCAGGGGGCTTGCCTGGGACGGAGCACACGGAGCAGGGCGCACAAATGCCTGAGAGCCCAACTCCTCTGCCCACCGCAGAATGCCTCCAGCGCCTGTCTTCCCTCCTTCGGCCCACGAGGCCCGCGCCAGGCTGCTACGTGGCCGGCCCCTCACTCTTCTCAGCTTCCAGAAGCCACCTCCAAGCTCCTGCCTTAGGATGGGAAGAAGGCGCGTGCTCGAGCCCCAGCCCCACCAGCCAATGGCGACTGGGCTTGGGGGCTGCCAGAGATCTCTGATATCCACCGTGGGCCAGGCCCTGCACTGGGCACTTCACAATACGTCCCTTGTCACTTCTCACAACAACTCCGTGTTGTAGGCGTCACCCCCTTGTACAGAAGGGGGAGGGGGCTTACAGACACCAAGCCACGTGGCTGGTCAGTGGTGGCCAGGTCCTGAGCCCAAGGCTGCCCGACCAGGGAGTGCATGCCAGGAGGCAGGGGGAGGAAGAGGGGAGGGAGCGAGCTGTCAGGGGCAAGCCTCGAGCCTGTGTCCTGCCCCTCTGGCCCCGGTGGGCAGGAGCGGGGCTGCATCACGGCACTAGTGAGGACACAGGGGATGGACGACTGGAGCAGCACAGACGGATGGACAGATGCTGGCACATGCGGAGGTCAAGACACAAGGCCCACCCCACACACACCCTGTCAGGGGCCTAGAATCCCCCGGCCCCTTGTAATGCCCTCCCATGCTCCAGGGCTGCCCGGGGCCAGGGCGGAGCAGAAGCACGGCAGGGCCAGTGTCCCCAGCGTCCAGCACCTGCAGCCTCTCCTCTAGCCGCCCAACCCCCAGGGAAGGCCTACTTCTTCCCCTCCAAAACAGGCAGTGGACAGGAGGGGCAATCCCCCCCCCCCCACAGGAGAGCCGAACCTTGACGAAAATGGAAACTCTGTATTCCATTTTTGCTTAGAAAATGATAAAACACCAAGACGCATCACCCTCCAGGCAGAGGAAAAGGCCAGAGCACAGCGCCAGGCTGGGGTGGTTTCCACTCTCCCTGCTGGGCTTACATCGTGAAGGTGCAGGGTGCTGGGTTTGCTTTGGGGAGAAGGTATCTTTGTCACAGAATCTCAGCACTTCCCCAATCAGCCACTTAGACAAGTTCTCACCAAATGCTCTCTCTCCAAGCCCAGAGCAAACACTTGTGCTCCTCAACCACAGTTTTGAGTTTTTCCAGAACGACACCCATCCCATAGCCCCTCCACCCTCCACCATCGTAAGCGGGAACCTGCCACGGAGGGCCTGCAGTCACCAGAACAGCCCAGGCGGCCAGGTGGCAGTGGACAGGTCCATCAGCCCGGCTTCCCGCCCACCCAGCCCTGCGCCCACTCACCGGCCCCACCCAGGGCCTCTCGTCCTTTCTCAGCTGTAAGCCGAGCTGGCTGACCCAACCATCACTCCAGCCCCTCCAGCACCAACACGAGCCCTCCAAATAGTCTGGGCTGACCCCGAGATGAACTGGGTTTACTCTGGGCCAGGGCCTGCCTGGAATCCTCCGCCCGCTTCAGGGACCCACTTCCCACAGGCAGCAGACCCCAGAGCTCCAAGAGGGCCAGGCCACCACAAGGATCCTCACCTCCTCCAGACCCAGGTGGGCCACAGCCACCCCACTCGGACCAGGAGGATGGCAGCCACGCCCTCTCTTCCCTGCCCGCTCCATGATGACCACGTGGCCTGGCCCTGGCCACTCCCCACCCACCTGGGAGCCAGGTCACTTCCAGGAACGCACAGGCTCTCGCCTCCAGCCTTGGACGTGGTGTTCCCTCGGCCTGAGATCCCCTGCCTGTGCCCTGGCTCACTCCACCTCAGCCCTCCAGGCTCAGGAGAAGGCCCTCCTCCTCCAGGGAGCCCTTCCTGATCCTTCCAGCTGGGGTAGGGCCCCCAAGACGGGCCAGGACAGGCTGCAGGATGCACCAGAGTCCCTAAGGACCAGCCAAGCCCCAGCAGGAGCCCACACACCAGCAGGCTGTGCTGCCCCAGCCAGGCTACAAAGCCCATCTGAGCCTTTGTTTCCTTTTCTGCAAGGTGACGTCACCTAAGAAGGAAGTGGCTGGGGTACAGAAGCCTCTGACCGCTGATGTGCTAGGCACCCTGGCAGCGTTGGCCCTCTCTGAGCCCCAGACCATGTTCTCAGCACACGGGGGTGCTCAGCAAATGGGAGCTGCTTCAGTCACCCCCACCCTTCCCGACGGCCTCTCCCAGCCCCATCCCGACCTTACCGGAGCACTGCATCCACGCCCACTGCCTCTCTGTGGGTCCAGCCCTTCGGCCACCTCCCGTGTGGCCAGGCCTCGTGCCTCACCCTCTCTGGATGCCGCTTCCTCATCCAGGACAGGGCCTCCAGGGCCCCTCCCCGAGGCCTTGGCCTGGGCAAGGCCTGACCACAGGGCTTCCTGGAATATTGGCCCTGCCCAGCAGGGGTCTGCAGCAATGACTTGGCCAAAGACAGAGGCTCAGCCTGCTCCCCCTACACTGCCCCTTCACCCCAAGAACCAGACTTCGGAAGTTAACTGCCAGCACACCGTGCCCAGGCCAGCAGGTCCCATGGGGACCAGAGAGGCTGGGCAACTCATCTGGTGTCACACAGCTGAGCAGGGCAGAACCAGGGCTCGCTCACATGCAGACACACCCAAAGGTCCCTCGCTGTCCCTTCCTGACACAGCTGTGTGCCCCTGGGCTGGTCACTCGGCCTCTGAGAGCCCCCATGTCCTCTGAACACATGATGCCCACCTCTGAGGTTACAGACAGGATGCCACACTGCCCCTAAGCCCAGTGCCTGGGACACGCTGCTGATCACTGAGCTGGGCAATCCTCATGGACATTGCTGTCTGCCACGCGCAGGCACCACTGTGTGCCGGGCCCTGATCCAGCCATGCCCCTCGGGCTGCCAGGGCTCCCCTCCCCACTGTCTCCAGCACTCAGCACCCACTGACAATCTAGGGCAGCACAGGCCAGTCCCCAGGTGGCCCCTGGGAAGGGCAAGGTGCTGGCCCTTGGCCGCTGCCCTCGCCACCCACCATCGGTGGGCACCTTGCACGCAGGAGAGGGACGCAGCCTCTGCTCCTCCATCCCCTCCCTCCCTCACTCCTGCCCCTTCTATCAGCAAAGCCACAGATTCAAACGCCTGGGTTCAGATCCCACCCCCGACCCCAGAGCCAGCCACCTGAGCTCGCCGAGCCTCAGTTTTCCCCTCCGTACAATGGGAAAGTGATGAGGATTACGAGGTCATCTTGCCCTCACGTCACAACTTCCGCCAGTGCCCTTGGCAGCAGTGACCTCTGCTCTCGTCTCGAGGAGGAAATGGGACCCCGAGGGCGGGCCACTCCAGGCCTGACACCAGACCTCCGGACACCAGTCCTGTGACAGGCAGGATGTTGGGAAACCCACAGGCACTCATTTCAACACCGCCGACGCATGAGGGACGAGTTTCGACATGCGACAGGCCATCTCGCCCACCTGCCCCGGCTGCCACTCGAGGGGAGAGGCTAGGCCTCCAGCATAGCGCCCCCAGCTCCCCTCGCCTCCCGACACGGGGACAGATCCTCATCATCAGGGGCGGTCAGGGACAAGGGTGCGGCCATCTGTAGGTGCAGAGGCAGAAGCCTGTTTTCGTCACCCCGGGCCAGGGCTGCTGGCCAAGTGAACCAGGTGCCAGGACACCATCGGCTGCCGGCTCTGCTCCAAGCCTCCGGCTCCAAGGCCGTGAGACAGGACAAGACTTCCCCACCAACTAGCCAGGACGACGCTCAGGGGAAAGAATGTTCTGGAAGGAGACGGCACCCCATTGGAGCTCGGGCCCCTCGTCAGCATGGGAGGTGCAGCCGAGTCGGGGAGGGGTTCACCCCCAGCCATCCACGGCCCAGAACGCCCGGTGCTGGTCCCTCCTGCGGGCCGCCCCGCAGCCACTCAGCTGTGAGGAGCACACGCCCTGCCACAGCCTCCCAGACTTTACTCATTTTAAGCAAAACGGCAGCTTGAGGGCAACCCCGGCTCAAGGAGATGGTCCCAGTGAGTGCTCACAGCAACCCCCCACAGCAGGGGAAACTGAGGGCTGCCCACAGCACAGCAGGGTGGCCCCACAGCCCGGCTGACCCCACTGGGCCAGTGGAAGGAAGAACTAACTGGGGCAGAGTGTCAGGAGGGGGTGGGCGATCAACCTCAGATATCGAACGCCTGGGCTCACCCACATACCCTCCGCAGGAGAGCAGGGGACAGGTGTCCCTGTGAGCCACCCAGGCCCCCATCTCCCAGCTCACCACCAGAGCCTGCCCCCTCCCCGACTCAGCCTTTAGCTCTAGGGACTCCCAGCACGGCTGCCTTTCCAGCCTCCTCCCAGGCCCACCACCCTCAGAAACGTTTCCTCACGTGGCACGAGCTGGGGGGACAGTGTACTCACCACTGGCCGCCCACCCCCCACAATGACCACAGCACTGCACAGCCAGCTGCCCGGCCAGCCAGCCTCCCGGACGGCCCCCACCCTGGCAGCATCCCTCTGTGAACAAAGACACGAGCATGTGAGCAAGGGGTGGCCACGTTCATGTGGCCTCCGGCCAGCCCACCCTGGACTCAGCGCAGCTCTGCGTCAGCCTCCCTGGGCCCCCAATGCCGGCCCCCAGCCCCCACACCGTGGACTTTCCCAGCTCCTGCACAGTGCCCACCCGTCACATGGCCGGCTCTTGGGGTGATGCTTGGGGGTGCTGGGAGGTGATACAGAAGGATGATGGGGGCTTCAAATCGCTATCAGTTCTCGGGAACCCCAAAGGCTCCAGCACAGAGAGGCTTCACCGACCGAGGAAAGGAATCACAAGTGAGGCAGGTGACCGTGGCCATCAGCAAATGCCGGCCGGCCCTCGATGCCAGGGCTTCTCTAAATCTGGGCTCTGACAGTCCAGCAGGGGAGAGAGTGAGCCAGCACACCCCAAAACCAGCTAACCATGGTCCTGGGGAGGCAAGAAAGGCCTCGAGGCGGCCAGAGACGAGCAGAGCCCGGCAGCCAGGAGGAGGCCACGCCAGCTCCAAGGGCAGGCACAGCCAGGGCAGAGGCCCCGAGGCAGGACTCCCGCCCAGGAGTCTCTAGCAGGGGACAGTTTCCATTTCCACTATGCCAAGCTCCTCTGGACGTCCTCTGGGGCTCAGAGTGGGACTGTCTGAGGTCACTCAGCCAGAGAGGGACCCCAGACCCCCGGGCTGGAACTCGAACCCGGGCCTCCTGACCCCGAGCCCACATTGTCTCCCTGAGCACCCTCAGGCAGGGAGGCCCTGGAGAGGGCATATACTGGCCTCCGGCCCCAAGCTGGGAGGAGAGAGGGACTGGGGTGTAGAGCTCACATAGAGGCCCTCGGAAGTGTGGTACACACACACACACACACACACACACACACACACACGTGCACGCACGCACCATCCAGAGAGTGACACCGCAGACTTCCTACAGCGATACGGCCAGCTCCCCGGGACCTGCCATCTCACCCCGAAGGGTGTGTGCCCCCACATCAAGGCGGGGATGCACCGTGGCAGGGCTGGTGGGCACAGACCCTGAGGGAGGGGGTGGCAAGGGTGTCCTCACCGGAGCCCTGGGGCGGTCAGTGCAAATGCAGCACCACGCCCCCCGTGCCACCTGGACTGGCCTACTCATGGGGACCTGGTCTCATCCTGCCAAAGCCCGATGGCTGTCTGCCAAGCCCCTGGTGGCCTGGGCACTGCCTCTGTCAGGGAGCTGGCGGGCCCGCCTGTCTTCCTCCACCAAGGGTCTTCCTTAACATGGGGCTCACGGAGATGGGAGCCCGGGAGGGGGTTTCTGTCTAGTGCCACCACCCCAAGCTGGTGACCAGGTGACAGCTGGGGGAATGAGCATCCCGTAACTCCAGAGGGAGAATGAAGAGTCACGGACTGCAGTCTCCAGCGGGGGAGCCCCTCCCTTCCCCTAGGAAGGGGGAGCAGACCGAGGGGGCTGAGGAGGCAGCCTCACCCGCTGTGCCGGCTCCCCTGGAACACGGCCGCCTGTCTGGGCCTGGAGCCGGCCGCGTGCGCGCCAAGAGGAGGCAAGTGAGGGAACGGAGCGTGTTTGTTTAATAACAAGCGACACCGAGCAGGCGGGCTGTCCCATCAGCCAGTACCTAAGCATGGCAATACCATCGGCTGCTGTCAGGAGCTCCAGGAACTATTAGCTTAATTAACCATTCCTACAGGCTCAGCACAACAGCCAGGCGGCCTGGGCCCAGCGGGGGGGGGGGGGGGGGGGTGGGGTGTGGCAAGGCAGGGGGACCCGGGCTACCCCCACCCGAGGGAGGCCAGAGGTGTGAAGGTGGTGGTCTCGGGGGCAGGCCGGGGCCAGGAGGCAGCTCTCAAGGCAAACTCCAGTTCCCAACACACGCCACAGAGCCCCAGCAAGGAGAAACCAAAACCAAACCCTTTACCATCGAGTCAATTCCAACTCATAGCGACCCTCTAGGGCAGAGTAGAACTGCCCCATAGTTTCCAAGGAGCACCTGGTGGATTCAAACTGCCGACCTTGGGGTTAGCAGCCGTACCACTTAACCACTACGCCACCAGGGTTTCCCCAGCAAGAAGAAGCCCCCCTAAACCTCCCCGCTGCCACTCGAGGAGGTACTAGCCGAGGTCACCACGCAGTCCTAACAGCTTAGCAAAGAGATCCAGAGTACCGGCTCTGCGGGCGGCTGGTTCCCTGACCTCTCTGGGCTCAGCTTCCCCGTCTATAAAGCGGTATCGCGGAGTGCAGGGCCCAGCGCAGTGCCTGGCATGTCGTGTAGCACCTGGGGACGCAGTGCTTGCAACGCAACATGAACTCAGGGTCCTTGTCTGGGCCCAGAAAGGCCCTTTTCCCTAGGAAGAGCAAGGGCCCAGGGCCTCACCACCTCATGCAGGCTGGAGCCTCAGCTTCGCCACCCCCTGCACCAGTCAGGTTGTTCTGAGGATGAAATAAAACATAAACCCAGACAGGCAAATCAGAGACAGAAGCAAAGTGGGGGCTGCCAGGCCTGGGGGATGGGGGGTGACTGCTAAAGGGATGGGGCTTCTTTTCAGGTGGCAAAAAGGTTCTAAATTGTCTGTGGTGGTGGCTGCACAAGCTTGTGAATACATGACAAAGCACTGACTCGTACCCTCTGAAACGATGAATCTATGGTATGTGAATTATATCTCAATAAAGCTTAGTTCATTCATAAACGCAGCACATCCGTGTTTGGGGCCCAGCAAAGGCTGTGGTGGCGGCCGGGGGCTTTGCCCTGTCAAAGTGTCGGCTCCCAGTGGGTGGAGAGCAGGGCCCGCTTCCAGACACAGATCTATGAACAGGGCCCCCCACCGCCCCACGCCACCCAGGCCCGGCCTGCCTTGTCACCGTGTTTCACCACGGGGACAAGTCCCGAGTCCAAATCTCAGCTAAAACAGATCCTTGTCCCTGGGGTGTCTGTAACTTTGAAGGTGGCCTGCATGGAGTCCGGAGGGCTCAGCTTGGCCAACGACAGCAGAAGGCCCCACTCCAGGCCCTGGGCCTGGAAACTGCTCCATCCAACCGCCCACCAGCCTGAGAAATCCAAGCCCACCAGCCTGCTGAGATCTTATCCACAGCGTGCACAGGAGCTGGGCTTCAGGAGGCGAGGCTCCACCCTTGGTCCTAGGGTACCGCATGGCCTTGGGCAGGAGACCTCACCTCTCTGGGCCTCAATTTCCCCATGTGGAACAGGAAGGTGTTGGTTGTGTGGCTGATCCTTAAGGCCCTTCCAATACGGCGTTTCCAGGCTCAGGAGCTCCAGGAAGAGCCAGCCTGCCTGCCGGAGAAGGTTCCCCCAGCCCCACCCAGCTCCTCTGAGGAGCCCCAGTCCACTGGGGAGGGACTGTCCACCCGCCCCCACCCCCCCGCCAGGCCCTGCAAAGCTGGCCCGCTCCTCCAGCTCACTGGGGACCAGCATTGTGCAGGGCAGCAGGGCCGCAGGGGGCATGGGGAGGGGGCCGCTTCCGCTGCCTGCAGGAGCCGCTGCAGCCAGGCCACTCAGCTGCTGACACCAATGTAACACGTTCCAGATGTGGCCAGTGGAGGACAGAAGCAGCCCTGCGTCCTGCTGAGGAAGCCGGCAACATTAGAGATAACGTGGAATTCCTGAGCCCGCGCCGGCCCGTTGGACGGGGAGGGGCGTGCAGC